TTTGGGCCCATAGGAAGTCTTCTGTCTACAGAAGATACAAACAAAGTTGTCTATCTTCAAAACACCTGAAAGTGGGTTTCTATTTATAGAATATTGCAGGCCGTTTTTGGATGCTTTTCCTACATCATAAGTTCGACCGGGACCTACTTTTAAAAATATAAATAATCAGTCTTGATCTAATTTAAATCTACTACAAGTAGGTAGGACCACAAAAATCCAAATTCCACATTACAGTCACTTTTTTTGGACCTAGCACTACGAAAATAAATCAAATGGTACAAAATCTTCATGGAGGAGACTATGGACCTACATTGTTTCATTTTCAGCGGAGAAGTTGTTCATATACCATGAATCTGAAATATTAAATTACAGCCACTTCCATTGATAAATGCGTTTAGGGCCATTTAAATACAAAAATGGCTAAATATGAGGGATTTGTCAAAACATAAGCCAACATTGAAATCTTCTGCAAAAATGTTTTTCGGTATAATTTTCTATATACCAAAAATGGCAGCTAGTTCCTCCAAGAAACCGGCATGCTAAATTACAGCCAATTTGGTCTGAAAATCGAAGTATTAGTAGCAAAAATTGTTCAAAATTCCAAGTTCTGTCAGAGAGATAGGCGAGCATAGACGTAGATTTTTACTCTAGAATTTATAGCAGGCACGGTCAGAGCGTAAAAAATCGGTCCTAACGTATTTGTCTTTGTGTCTGTGTCTATGGTTTTTCAGTTGGTTCAGTTGAATGTGTGTGAGAGAATAGTGATATTTGCTCTCGCGAGAGAGCACGCGTACGGAGCATCGCCCGATATTGATTTATAGTTAAATTAAAAAATAGCAAGGAGTATGGAGAAGCTCACATATATCCAGGAAAGCTAAGCTTAAAATATTCGAAGTCTGTATAAAATCGATTCTGCACCACGGATTCGAACACCATCACTAAAAAGCTATAAGTGTCCATAAACAAAAGTCTCACAATCATATCCTAAATATTCTCAACCAACATCAAAAGTGACATAGGGCTGTGTGGGTTCCTGATTACACAGCCCTATGTCACTTTTACATATATCCATAGCATTACCAGTATTGCTCTTCAAAGGAATTCCCAAGGCAGCCAACAATAACCCCAGAAATAAGACGAAATACGACGAAAACAGAGGAAAAATAACAATGGTTTGCGATCGAGCTTTAAGAGGAGATTGTGGTTTTAATAATCGTCCGGCTTTGGGTATGTTAATAAACAAAATTGTCGTTTTTGGGCTTTTGAGAATCCTCCAATACCTTACTTCTTCGAACACAACATTTGAACGACTGTCACCGTCAATTCAGAGCGTTATGGTCTGGATAATCGACTCATTTGCCTGCTATTGAAGAGTACGACTTGGAAAATACGTGGTTTTCTTAGTCGCGTAATTTCTCGTCGTAGCGATATTAGCTGGCCACCAAGATCATGCGATTTGACACAGTTCAACTTTTTTATGGGGCTACACGAAACCCCGAGTTTATGCAGATGAACCTTCAAATCATGAGCACTTAAAACCCAACATTCGTCAAGTTATGACTGAGATTTCGCCCAATATGTGTCAACAAGTGGTCGAAAATTACCTCAAAAGAATCAATGCTTGCAACAGCGTGAAGGTCAATTAAATGATGTACTGTTTCACAAATAATGTCAACGTTCAAACTTTAATATAAAAAAATAATAAAAAGGTATATAGGGCAACACTTAGATTTGCCTATGTCATAAATATACAGACGAGTACGCTTATAACGAAATTTTCTTATAGCGAACATATTTCCTGGTCCCGAATATTTTTCATATTTTTGAAACAAATATTTACTCTTATAGCGAACTAGGGATAAAACGAATTATTTATTCGGTCCCAACATACAATTTTCATTTATTTTAATTTTGTTATAACGAACTTGCTACAAATCCTCACTAAATTTAATTCGTACTCTAACGCTGGCAACCTTTACCAAAAATGCCAGCTATAATGTCATGTTAATTAAAGAAAAAGGGCGCCAATTTCTAACGGAATATATATTTTTCTTCTAAGCCCATGTTTCGCATTACCTTCGATATGTCGAACTAATTTGCTTGGTCCCCACTCATTCACTATAACCGTACTCGACTGTATATTGTCTTCGTATGATCGGTCACTTCTGACTGTACTACTGTACTTCTGCTAGGTCCGTTGAGTTCTTTACATTTTTTAAAGAATTGTTCTTTACTTCATTTAAAAAGATTTTTTTTTTCAAAAGAACAATCGAATCAAAAAGTCCTCAATATAATTTATTCTATAAAAAAACTTCAATTAAACGCCCACAATCATCATCAGCAATTAATAATTAACAGTTCCCTGGATTTTGTTTTCCTTTTGTTGTGCAGCCTGAATAGAAGAGATAACAATATCAATTCTTTTTCTATGTACTTTCACTTTTAATTAGAACACTGACATTAACCCTTCTTCCATTTGACTTTTCTTGTTTTCGCCTGTTCTCTCTTGGTACAATGAAGTCAATTAATCGTCTTAATTGCCAGGCAGTGACGCCATTTGTTATTAGGACATCGGGGGGATATTCGTTTATACATCGTGTTTTGCAATCAAAAAGTAATGCAACAGCAGCAGCATCAGAGCATCGTTAGTTTTTCAGTTAGTTGTCGTTATCGGAAAAGCCAATAAATCCTAGTCGTGCAACCAGCCAGCCAGCCACACCTGTTTGAGGAATGCGCTCAGCACCAAATACGTGCCTGAATGGAAAAGCAAACACGAAATGTGCAGGGTGTATGAGTGTATGTGTGTGTGTTTGTGTCTCGGCTGCTGTGAATCGCCGAAGGAATTACATTCGCATTTACACTTGACTTATGTGCAAAAGTAACTACGTCATCATTTGTTGTTTTTGTTTTCGTTGTTCATGCAGAAATATGCGTGAGTGCGTTCAATGAGAGAAGAGCAGCAATTGGTGCGAAAGGAAAAAAACAGTAAACAACCATAATGCACTCACAAGTGACCAAAACATAGAAGAGAACTCACACGTAGCAGTTGCAAAACCGTTAGAAAAAAAAACCAAAAAAATAAAACACAGCAACAACAGGAATACAAACATTCACACATACAATGACAGTATGTGTGTGTGTGAAGAAACATGACAACGGTATTAAATGTCAAACGCCGACAAAAGCCGAGAAAAATGGAAAGCTTACTTTCTCTGGAGCTTACTGGAGATATCCGACAAAAGTACAACACAGCAAAAATGACAGCCATAAAGAGTGACACACTCACTCCTGGTGAACACTTACACACACACACGCGCATACACTGAATAGCTGGCATGCATGCACTTTTACTGCCATCACATTCAATTGGAAACTATCAACATCCTTTTCGTTGTCGTCGGTGTCGTTGTTGCTGCTGTTGTTGTTGTTGTGTGGTCGCTTTCGTTGTAAACTTTATTTTTTAGGCCACCTAGAGGGTGTGGTTCCCTATTGCCTGAATATTGGATAGTTTGACACAGATTCCGTTAATACGAACGACGAGGGACCAAACCAAACACACACACATAGACACCCGAAGAGCAGCAGCCACAACAAACCAGCGAACGAATATTGGACCAAAGCAAAAACGATAAAATGACTGCAAAAACAACAGCAACACCAACAACCACGGCAAACATTAAAAGAAGAGCATCACTCTAACACTTTGCATTTGATTTGCATGGCGGCATGTTGTGTTATTTTGCCAGCCGTTGTTGCTTCTTGATATTCTCCATTATGCTCTAAACAAGCGGCAACACAACAAGTTAGAAAACGTAATGACACACACACAAGAACATACATGCATGTTCGCATTGGCGTTAAAACGTAAATAATGATAACAATGTGATTTGTGCTCTTTATAGGAACATCATTCAGAACCATCAGTCAGTCAGTTAGACTGGGAGGTAGACAGTCAGTCCATCCATTCTGTCATTATTTACTTTGTCACTTTTTTGTTGTTGCCTTTTTTATCTTTGTACTGTAAGTAAAATACATTGTTGTTCTTGTTTGTTTGCTATGTACTATTTATGTTAACTCGCTCAATTAAGGTATTGAAATTATGAATGAAAGTCCTTTTGTGTCAGCGTTGCCACATTGCAAACAAAAATTTGTAAAGGGGAAAATGTGGGATATTTCCCTTGGAAAAAAATAATTAAAGGGGAGTTTTTCCTTTATATCGGTCCTATGTCGAAACATTGGTCTATATTGAAAAATATTTGTAAATAGATATTTTACCCTTACAGAACAAAAAATATATACAATTGGTTAAATGCTCGAACTTGCGAACCTTCAAAATTCGTAAAAAAGTAGTTGATTTCTACAGACAATCAGACGGCCGTGGCTAAAATAAAAGTCCTTTAAATAAAGAATACAGAATAATTCCTTTATCTATAAAAAATAGAATCTCCAGGAACTCACCTCAAATAGCCCAAACTCACACATGTATTTTCTAATTATATTCCCGTTCAATTTTCCCTGTTGTCTGGCGACAAATATGACAATACACCACACTCGGTTTATGTCAATGCTTCACCATATATTTGCCTACCCAATACACCAACCATCAAACAAAAACCAAATTGAGGCATCATGTGCTACGAAAACAGGGTAACGTTGAATGTTTACACTAGCGCCACTAATTTAGACACAGTGCAACAGTTTAATGCCAGGAATTCATCATTCGACAAAGAATAACAAATGAATGATTTAATAAAATCATTTAATCTTAATTTTTCGATTCTTTGGTAACATGTTATCGACAACTATCAATTTTTTAAACCAGCTGATTTCATTCCCCTATGCCCCTTTATCTGGTATTAATAATGTGGAACGCTTTTAAATATGGTTGGTTTAATCAGAAGGCGCGTAGAAAAGGTTTCAACCAAACGCTGGAACGATTGTAGTGGATTATACAAATTGGAGTAATTAAAAATAAATTAAAGAAATTAACTATTTAAATAATGGATGAACAATTCATTCACTATCTAACACAAGCAAGTACAGCAACAAACATAGGACCAACTGCTAAAGGTGAGAGAAATGGTTGCATCAATTTTGGGTAAGCATGAGAAGATGCTATTTTCATGAAGGGGATGGCTCGCGAAGACACAAGTGTTGTTAAAGATTTTCTATGTAATTATAGGAAAATAGTGAATTTGACATCTGCCCATAGCAGAAAGTCTTAATTCACTGGCCCAGGAGGGGCCACCCACAAAAACTATTCAAGAAACACAAGTGATTTAAAAATTGCGAACAAGTCAAGCATAGGGGCTCCACTCCAAATTGGAAACATGTCAAGCATAGGGGCTCCACTCGGATCGACGTACAAGAACACAGTGATACACATTTTATGTGAGGGAAATTCATATTTTCCGAGATATGGGCTTAAGGCTTTCTCCTATGGACAGGCTCATACATGGCTACGCATTCCCAATACATTTTAAATACCATAAACCAATGAAATTGTTTTTTATGCAGTCCGTCTTCAATATCACAGACAAGCTGTTGCATTTACGTCAAAATGTTAGTTTTATAATATTTATAAATTATTATACAATACTCTTCTTATTTTTAAAATTATACCCAATTTTTTACGAACTTTCAAGGCCCATATCTCGGGAAGTATTGATTTGCCCCTAACAAATGTTATTTATTAAATATCTTTAATATTACCTCAGAATCAGAATTTTTTTTAATTTACTTTGTTTCTGGAATATAGCCCTCGTCAAAATGTTGTGTAGAGGATCACCTTGTATTTTTCTGTAATTTTTACCATATGTACGCCTCGACCCCTTATCAGGAACATATATAATTGTTTGGTGGATACGGTTTTAATGTATGCAATTATTTCCATAATTTCACTTCCGTAAGGTGTATATTGACATAATATCCAGACTTAATTTTTATTATTGTTGAAAAACGCACACATTTCCCTTTTTTATTTCAGAGGCTCTATTACAACATGCCGAAGATGAATATCTTAATGGTAATATGACCCGTTCGATATTCTATCAAATTGTTGCCCTATATCAAGCATCTCAGGAACATTATTACAAATCAACCAGTAAACGTAAATCCGCCAATGTTGAAGATCTTTTGGCCGAGATGACAGTTGAGGAGACCGATGATTTTAAAGAGTAAGCAAAAATATAGTATTTATAATAATATATCGCTCATTTGCTGCAATACAGGCATAACTCAAAAAAACGCGATTTTCCAGTTAATAATGGACGATTGTTCGCTATATTAGACCTCATGTTGTGTAAAAAATTCATATGAATATCTCTTACACACTCTAATTGAGAAGCTGTTGAAGTTCTTCTGTTCCATATAAAGTGTGAGTAAATTGGATACGCATAAAAAACTATTTTCTGCAAAATCGTTTTTTAGTTATGCCTGTCTTGCAGCAAATGAGTGATATGTTATTGCCGAAGTTGTCTACATTTTAGATTTCATTAATATTTATTGTATTTTATATTTAGACATACATATATGGATTTGTTTTATTTATCGTTTACCATCTGCTCTGTTTTATCTAATTTCAGAAATTGCCTTCTACAATATGTTAGTAAATCTCTTAAAACAATGAGCAAAAATAAAAAGAAATCACAAGATAAATTTGAAGCAATTGAAATTGAAACCGAAAGTAATTTCTTGAAGGGTATAACCGATCCCATGCAAGGCATACATAAGCTAGAAGATATCTGCAAGCAAATGCCAAAAGGTAGGTAAATTTAAACAATTTTTTTAAACAATTTTTTCTAATTTTCTACTCGTCATATTTACAGAATGGACAATTATGCAATTGTGTAAGGGACCACGTCCAGAAAATACATTTTCAGTATATCCAAAAATACACGAATATGATGCTGCGATTTATCTAACAATTTTAAAACATGCTCGCAGTGATAGATACCCAACACCGATATGTTTACGTTTCTCAAGAGATGATCAAAAGGAATTATTTGCTAATTTCGCTAGCATTATAAATCGTTTTAAACACGCCATAAAAGTAGATCCCAAAGATTGGCATACCATCGAAGCGAGAAAATTATATTGGAATATGTTGTCGGAGTTGAATACATTTATAGCTGTAAGTATTTAAGTATATTTTTTAAATGAAAGAAATGGAAGAAAGTGCAAACAATTTCAAATAAGTCGTCCTTTGCATCTTAGCATGCTCCTAATGACGACATCTATCAATCAAGTCGGCATCTGTTGTATATAACTTCAAATAACTAAATAATCCTATAACCAAATATGAAAAAAACCTTGAATAATATTTAATAATATTGCAACTTATATCTGTGTAAAATTTCATCAAACTAAGTACATTTATTCAGCCAAAATTTTGCATTTTGTCAATGAGGGTATTCAACACTAGCGATCATTCAGGTTCCTTAAGAAAAAAATAATGGGCATGTCGATTTTCAAAGACTAGTATACGTTTTTCACAAGGATATTTTTCCTATATAAAAAAAATACAGGAGAACACTATAGAATTAAAAATTATTAAAAAATATTTGTAATTACGATATTTTTGTGCCGTTCTTAAGAGCAAACATTTTTAAGAGTTTCCTATAGTCGGCATATGGCTGAATAATAAACACCTTTTCGATTAAATATAAAATTGTTGTTTTCCTAAAATGCCACATGCCGACGTTTGGAACATGACAAGCCGACTATTGGCAAAAAGCACTATTTTACCTAATGTGATTTTTATACCCTTCACCACACTGTGCTACAGGGTATTATGTCTTTGTGCATAAGTTTGTAACAGGCAAAAGGAAGCGCGATAGACCCATTGTTGCTTTTGAGAATATGCAAAAAATCACTTTCTGAGTCGATTTATACATGTCCGCCCGTCCTTTGATGTTAAATTGTAAACCAAGTACGCATTTATCATCCGATTTGGATGAAATTTGGCATAGCTCATTAATTGGGCCCAAGGACGAACCCTATTGAAATTGGGAAAAATCAGTTCAGATTTAGATATAGCTCCCATATATAATTTCGTCCGATTTATTGTAAATGGTGCACCAAAGTCCCTACATATCTTTCGATATGTACGAAATTTGTCATAGCGTACTTAATTAGGCCTAGAATGATGCACGTGAAGTTTCGTGAAAATCGGTTAAGATTTATTTTCGTCCGATTTAAGGTAAATGGTGCACCAAAGTCCCTATATATCTTTCGGTTTGCACGAAATTTGGCATAGTGTACTGAATTAGGCCTAGAATGACGCACGTGAAGTTTCGTGAAAATCGGTTCAGATTTAGATATAGCTCCCATATATATTTTCGTCCGATTTAATGTAAATGGTGCGCCAAAATCCCTACATATCTTTCGGTATTAGAAAATTTGTTCTAAACATCTGAATATTTTCTAGAGAAAAATTTATATAGAAATTATATTCATATTTTTTATAGAAATTCTATTTATATTTCTTATCTGACGTTTTTTCTTTTCTATCTTTCTTATTTCAGAAAATTCTTGCTGATTTGAAGAACTTCTTTTTTCCCTGGACATTTTTATTTACGGGCATTTCAAATTTATCATCCTGCACCAAAGTTTTTCAGGGACGTTGGGATAGAATTGATGCATTTTGCAACACATATAATTGGGATGAGCAATCAAGGATATTACTTTCATTGGCGGCATCTAATATTAGAGATATATCCGATTTGGAAATTGATGCAATTTGTTCAGTACTTACCGAAAATAAAGAACAACGAGAAATTGTAATAGATTTATTAAATGAAATGCAACAACAATCACAAAGTAAGTGTGTTAATCATAACATGAAGCTAAATTAAATCGAATTTCTTTTTTTTTTCAAAAACAGATGATTGCAGCAACGAGTGTCGAACTAATCGTTATCCATGTATATTGGTGGTCGATGAGGTATGGCTATTCTCTTTCATTTAATAAATGTTAAAATAATATCAAATATGTTTGTCCAGCGTTTAGATCATTTCTTTTGGGAAGAAATGAATGTCTATCAAGAATTTACACGCATTAATTCCATACAATGCCTTTGGAGGCTTTATAAATACTATAAAAAGGACTTACGAAATGGTTACCTTAATGTTAACATAACCACGGGTGGCTGTGTTATAAATCCCGGTAAGTTTTTTTATCTGTGGCATGTTTTTTTCATTGTCGTATTTTTTATTTCTTTTTTTACTTTTTTAGATCAAAATTTAAATAAAATGGAATTGCGTATGCGTAGCTTTTTCGAATATTGGATGCCACATTGGTCAATGATGGTTGGCCAGCGACCAACTCAAGAAGACCTATTCAATAAGTTTTTCAAACAAAATTGCTACGTGTAAGTTTTTTGTACTTTGACAAAAAGTATCGCACATAGATACAAACACTCACTATCTCTAAAGAAGTGGTGACCCCGTTAAAACTCAGTTTATTATTTGTATTTCATTTCTTCTTGTGATTGGTGTTCTTCTATGTTTGCTATCTCTTCTATATGTTCCAGTTATGCTGGTCATGGTTCCGGTCTACAGTATATAAACGGACGTAATATTGCCAAATTTCAGATGCACTGTGTGGTTTTCCTATTTGGCTGTGACTCGTCGCGTCTCCATTCGAATGGCCTGTATAGTGAATTGTTGGGACCGCATTTATACTATCATGCTGCCATGTGGTAAGTACCAAAAGAAAAAAAGGAAACAGTAGTGATGGCTGAATACATACGAGTATACTGGAGTTTTAATGCGTTTGTGTTTGTCCAGTATTATTGGAAACAAACTGCACTAGGTTACAGTATTTTGTCTTATAAAATTGGATTTGGGTTTAGAAGCAAAGCAAATTTTTTAAGCTGAGGATGTTTATAGAGTATCTAAGGATTTTTTATACCCTCCAACATGGATTACATGGATTTTCGGTTCATAGCTCATTTTTATACACTCAACCTTATGGCTAATAAGGGTATATATACTTTGATACGGTGAAAATGTGCCTCATCGAAATATTTGTTTTATACCCCATGTTTCTTTTGACCAAATCCGTTTCAGAAAATTTGGAGTCGATTTACACATGTCCGTCCGTTGTCCGTCTGTCTGGCTGGCTGGTGCGCACGATAACTCTCGAAGGCAGCAACCGATTTCAAACATTGCACAAGCTATTACCTTTACCACAAAATGCAAAATTGTGCTAAAAATTAAGTTTATAATAACATGCAAACGGACTATCCGATTTTAACAAAACTTTGTACAAATTATTATCTTTACCAAGCTTTTTGAAGACCCATTGTACCTCCCCCACATAGAGTCAAAATGTTTTTGATACAAATATCCGTCTAATGGAATGTCCGGTTAGAACCAAAAATTGCACAATCTATTACCTTTACCAAATCTAGATCAAGTTTGAAGATGGGGCCCATTGGTCCACTCTTTTTTGTTACCTCCCCCACATAGAGTCAAAATTTTCAATCTTTTTAATACAAATATCCGTCTAATGGAAAGTCCGAATTCTAGATAAGGTCCGAAGAGACTCATTGGTCCTCACCTTCTGGTACCTCCCCCACAAATGGTCAACATTTCCAATATTATTAATTCAATATCAGGCGAATGGAATGTCCGATTTGAGCCAAACCTTGTTCAACCCATTACCTTTACCAACCCTGGATCAAGTCCGAAAATGGGAACCATTGGTCCACTGCTTCTGGAACCTGCCCCCACAAATGGTAAAAATTTTCAATATTTGTTAATCCAATATCAGGCGAATGGGATGTCCGATATGAACCAAACTTTGCACAACCCATTACCTTTACGAAGTCTAGATTAAGTGCAAAGATGGGACCCAGTAGTCCACTCCTTCCGGTACCTCCCTCACAAATGTCAATATTTTATAAAATTTTATCAACATTAAATCCGAAACCTCTTTGATAAAAAACATATTTGTTATATAAAGCTAATAATAAAATCTGTGTCTAATTCCGAAGACCTCCGCAAACCATAGGCTGGAAGTATATATCTGTCGGCAAAACCGACTGGCACTTTTTTATTTGTTTATATAAGAAAAATGTTGTCCTCAATTAATAAGGACATTTTCTAAAGAAATGTTTCCTCGACAACTGACGACACTTTTTTCTGAAGAATCAAAATTTGAGTATTTTTCCTTTAATGCTTCTTTGTAGTCCAGTGTGCGCGTGTGTGTTTTTCTTTTTTTTATTGATTTACAACAGCTACAACAAGATTCAAACAATAACAACATAAATAACTAAAAACTGTATCATCTTGTTATTATTGCTTGCAGTCCTGCGTTAGTTGGCACTCTAATGCCTTGCCTAGATTCGATTATGGATAAGGTGGCCACGGAAATACTTAGTCGTTGGATAGCGCCCAAATCGCCAAATACTTTGCCATGGAATGAAATTGAAGTGAATGCCTGGGTGAAAGAGGGCATCATTAGATGTAAGTCCAAACTTCACACACACATTTATATGTGCATACATACATACACACTCTGTCACCATACACACACATCCTTAATTGTAAAATTGTCATGTGAAATTATTTATTGTACGTTTGTTGTTTACTCATTATTTTATAGCCAAAAGTGGTGGGGACAATGTTGAGGCATCTCCAACCGCCGCCATCCCCAGCAGCAGAGTTTCAGCCACAATAGCCACTACCCCCGATTATCATTTCGGCAGTTTGTGTGGCATTTTGGCCCGTGTACATCAACGCATCAGCGAACCCAAACTCTACAATACTGTGCCGTATGTGTGTCGTGGCCTACCCGTCTGGAATTGTAATGTACAGCCCATACTCTAATGATTAGTAGTATATAAGTGTTTAAGTTCGGCATGCATATGCATAAGTGTGCAACACATAAGTCCCAAGTAAAGTGTAAATATCCTGTGAACTCTCATATCCGTTCAGATAAGAATTGTTGTGTTCTACGGCTGCTGCAATGAAAACTACAGAAACGCATTGCACAAATATTTTGAATTACTTGTTTGCAATTTTGTGATGCTTTCTCCTCTGTACACTCAAACATGGCAGGAAAGTGTCTGGGCTGGGCCCACTTTTAAAGTATTAAAATCTGTTTATGAATTCCAAATTAAGTCTTAAGTTTATTGCTACCCTAAGCTGAGATAGTTCTGCATTTCTGTTGTTGTGTTTCGTTTCTTTCGTTTGTGCAACACCTGCAGCTGTCTTTCTACTTGAGCAGTGAGTGAGTGTCACTTCCGCTTCACCTACATTTATTAGCATTCGTTTGCATTGCTGTTGTTTCTTTTTGCGTTATATAGCTGCTTTCGTTGTCATCAACATCATCATCATCATCTTTGGCTGAAGTGTTTATCTAACAAAGCACATCAAAACTAACAAACAACCAGCCAGCGTGCTGAAAGCAGACGGACAAGCCAACAGATAGTCATCGTCAGATAGAAAGGTAAACAGGCAAAAACTCACTGTTATGTTAATGATCCACCAAAAAACCCCTCTACTCAATGTTTTTTATAATTGAAACACAGACAACCATCCAGCCAAGTCACAGAGGTAAGTGCAAATATTTCACTTCATTTTCTTGATAATTCCAATAGTTGTTGTTATAATCTGTTGTTTTTGCATTTCCCTCTAGTTTTCATCATCATCATCATTTCCATTCTTTGAGTGTTATTTTTGAATTAATACTTCGATGTTCTTTTAGTGTGTTATTAAAACTTTTTTTGTAAAATGCAAACAGAGTATTGACGAGATTTATACCTTTTTCAGGGATTAAAATGCTAATTGAAGTATTGCGAAGTACTTATTAAAAGTTTGTTTCGGATTGCGGGTATATGCGATTAATTAACCTAATTTAAATTGAAAGAGACTTGAGGCGTAGTAAATGATAAAGGCTACGGATACTTAAGTAAGTGTCATATCGAAATTACTTTTTTGTGGGGACCAGGTTTTGAAAAAAATCGGTTTCAGACCCTTTAGCTTGCGGGCACGAAAACTTTTGAAGTGAGTAAACCAATGTTAAACAAATGTTTCCAATAATACTACATATTATTTTCCTAACCCTTAGATCAAGTTTGAAGAAAATAGAGAATCACTTGTTCTGGTACCTTCATCCCCAGATTCTATCCTTGAACATGGTAATGTTTTTATTAGTGCACTACTTCTGGTAGCTTTCGGAAAAAAGGGGATCAAATAAGCATTACTTTTTTCGAGATATTTTGAAAACATCTAAATGCGATGAAAAGCTAAAAGATTATCCGATTTAATCAAATCTCTACACATCGTAATATATTAACCTAACGTATATTTAATTCAATGAATGATCCACTCCTTCTGTTTGGCAAGGACTAACCATTAGCCATTTCAAAAAATGACTAATCTCACATATTAATAACAAAACAGAAGTTTTTAGGACGTATAAAACGTGTTGCTGCGAAATAACACGGGTTATTGGCAAAATGTCGAACAGATTTAAATGAGATATATATTTCCTGTTCCCTATTGGAGACGGCTAAGGCCACTCCTCTGGGCTTTTCAATTACATACATACGGGTATCAGTTGGAAGAAGGATATCGGAGTCTATCCATGTGGAACAAGAATGTAAGCTTGCGATTATTTACCCAATAACTAGTTGACGATTGTAAAGCCATACCCTATTTGGACTTTCGGACTATATCTTTTGATATTTACCAGAACACTGCTTCATATAACAAAACAAGTGAGCGCAGCAGTGTAGTCGGATGTGGCCGACCATACGATACCCTACACAACTACCACGGAACTCTAACTAGCTGTGGATTTTTATTCCGTACCTGGACAGTTGCTCTCTCTTTCCCGATTTGAGATCAATAGCACCTCCTCCTAACACTAACATATTTTCCGAATATTATGTTCAATACACAGGGACAGTATTGAACATAATATTCGGAATAATATTCGGAATTACATGTCCATATTCCCTTTACCATGGGTAGTGTTGTGATGTTCGGCATATAATTGTGGCCTATAAATCGAATCAAAAAAAAAAAAAAAAAAAAAACGCAAACAATTTTGTTTCGGTCCATTTCATCCCAAAATTATTAGCTGATCATCATCGAAACTTATAGGCGTTGTCCTTGGCCATAACTGGAACTTCATGGAAAATGTCAAAGCCATCAGCGTTATATTTCCGCCCTCTAATGTGGTAATGGGTTACTAAATAATATCTGAATAGGTAAGGACCTGTAAATATTTAAGTGTAACTCCCACATTCGAGTACAAAATTCGAGGGCAAAATTGCGTCCTCTGGAGCGACCAGAAAAAACTACAAAAATTAAGTATTTGGTCCATTTAATCCCCTAAATATTAACCGATCTTTACCAAAAACAAAAGGGGCCTTCATTGGCCAGAACCGATCCTACATGCAAAATTTCGTGAAGATTGGTCCATAACTGTGGGCTGTATTGTGTTTACAAATTATAATGGACAGACGGACGGACACACATGTCTAGATCGACTCAGCTAGTCGAGATATGACGATCGGTATATTTAAAGGTGGGTCTAGGAACAATATTTCGCGGCGTTACAAATTTTTGGGGCTGTACAAAGCTATAATACCCTGACATAGTTGTGTAGGGTATAATTAGAAAGCTAACGAATTAACGAGGGACTGGATAAATTTCTTATCGAGTACTTTAACAGGAAAGGATTTCACGAATATTCAGTAAACATTACTTTTGCCGATCTGTATTCTGGATAAAAAAGTTAGTGCCTGGCCGTCAGCAATATTTTTCTCCAACTAAATTGACGGTAATAATAATGTTTGTTCGTCTTTTAGGATATTCTTATTGGTATTCTGAGAATTTTGGACACGATTCCCAACCGAGTTGACTATCATAAAAATGTAACTCTCCTCAAAAATTATTATCATCATTGATCGACTTTTCAGAATATCCTCCAAATGTCGGTACCCTTTTATATGCGATTTCTAATCGAATTGGCTTTATATAGATATTTTAAATTTTAAGTGAGTAACAAATTTTCATACCGACCTAGAGCTTAACACCTTTATCAACTGTTCATTCTTGTACCACTCTAGTAGCCTATGTTGCAACTATGTTTTATTGTTGTTATTATTCGAGTCATAAAATATACTGCGTTAAATAATAGCTGTCATATATTATCAGTTTTAATCGAAGGCCATCAAGTGGCCTATACGTTTAGCTTAAGAGTTTATTTAAAACCCCCTTGAGGTGTCTAATGCCCATATATGTACATATATAAGAATTTGTTAAGAAACCTGCAATAAAATACTTTAGGCTAATTATAAATTAAATATTAAATAAAGACATACATACACACCCACCAAACGTATATTTTTTCTACTATTTTCTTATCCACATTATATGTTCGTCTGAATGTCCTTCATCGCTTTCTGTCTTGCGGAGATATTGTAAAATATTAAATCTTTGCTTTTAACCCGCATTTATAAGGTACACAAAAAATATAAATGTAACATTTCATTTGAAATCTTTTGTGAGATCAAAGGCTGGTAGGTCACAATCAACCGACCGGACCCGACACGACACGTCCTGGCCGGACCATTTGTACTAGCTGCAATTGTTAGTTTGTATTTTTTTAGTTTGGTTTATAAGTGATTAACTTGAATGCTGCTGTCCATTGCTGCATTATAACAAAAAAATCTCTGCATTCAAATAGATATGTCAGAGTAGCTGATGGTCGGTACTTGTTGGCGATGTACGGACATATAACACTTAAATAGTCGACAGGAATGTGATGACATATGGCATGTGTCGCATCAAAAAAATGAAAGAAAAACGTTTCATCACTCTTTAGAATAGAATGGAATTTGTGAAAAGATAAAATAAAATACATCAAAGAGAACGTTGGGGAAAATAAAATGAGACTAGTTGTTGCACCGTTTACACCAATTATAACAGATATTTGGGAAATTTGAAGCATTAGACAAGTTTGTTACTTAATGAGGATACGATCATACTACCATGATACCACTCCTTTTGATACGTGGAATGACGAATGCTTGAACAACAAACGGATCACATTTTCCATTCGGTGGGTATGTTAATAAATGAAAATTTCATATTTGAGGTTTTGAGAATCTTCAACACCAAAAAGGTATATATTTATTTTTAAAAATTGTACAGATGATTTTATTTTTAAATAAATTCCATTTAAAAGAAGGAGAATTAAAGACCTCGTCTCCAAACTCCAGTAGTTCATAGATCATTTTATTTTTAAATAAATTCCATTTAAAAGACCAAAGACATATATACATAAATCAAAAACAGCATTTTTGACCGTTGCCCTGGCCATGACATTAAAATTCTGCTAGGAGATTTTAATGCAAAAATCGGAAGGGAAAATATCTTTGGCCCCACCGTCTGAAAATTCAGCCACCAAGAAGAAACATCACACAATGGCGTGAGGTTGATTGATTTCGCGGCAGCAAAAAACATGGTAGTTAGCAGCACCAGATTCAAGCATATCGATATACACAAGGTCACTTGGATTTTTCCCGATCGAACAACGAGAAATCAAATCGATCATGTTGTGATAGACGGAAGGCATTAATCCAGTGTTTTAGACGTCCGACGTCCATGCTCCGACCGAAGATAAAGATGAGCAGACCAAAGATATATTTTACGAGTGCCTAGAAACAGCATATGACTGTTGCCCTGGCCATGATATTAAAATTCTGCTAGGGGATTTTAATGCAAAAATCGGGAGGGAAATATCTTTGGCCCCACCGTCGGAAAATTCAGCCTCCATGAAGAAACATCAGGCAATCGATCCGGGGGCGAAT